GTTGGAAAAGAATGCTATATAAACTTATTATTCATTAAATGGATAACGATTAAAATGTTCCAATGGAAAATTGAGAATTGAAGAATTAAAGAATTAAAAATTTTGACAAATTGATTTTTCTCACTTTTATTGTGCATAAGAAACCAATTCAAACCAATGATTTAAAAAACTTGTGGAAAATGATCGAACGTTCTTTTCAATTGGAAAACGCGCTTTTTCGTCGGCTGAACGTTGGATAGACGGATAGATGGACGTTTTTCGCTACTGTCGACAGGCCAAACCAGTTCACTCCTTCGGATCGTATTTCATGTTATCGATCGGCTTACCCTATGCACCCTCGTGTATATATCGGCAGTTGCAAGAATGTTCATCGAAACGATATCGATGCATCTCTCTAATTAATATTAATCTTCGAGCGGTTGTTCCACAACGGTTTATTTCAATTTTTGCGGATTTCGTTGTATTTAATTTAATTTTATTTTATTTCTTACTCTGCAATGCATAATATTATAATTATATTAATGTAATAATAACAATTGTATGTGTATTATAATGTAATAATATTGTTACATATAATAATATAAGATAGAATAGAATTATGAGACGGTGAATAAAATAATATTCATTTATATGAGATAATAATGAGATTTTTAACGATGATTAAAATTTAAGCAAAATGAAGATTACTATAATATAGCTTTTTTTTAACAAAAAAAAAAAAAAAAGTTACAAAAAATTTTTACGTGTATCAATTTAAATCAATTTCATCACGAAATTTATTTTATGATTTTAAAAACAAAAAAAAAAAGGCTAATAGTTCAAAATATTAATTAGGAGATTTAAAGTCTATTATCTATCTATCAAATAAATTATAATGATCATTCAAATACCATGAACAAATTGAAAAAGCCTAAGTAATTCGAAATTATGGATCCAATATTTTTTATCATATTTATGAATATTGTGATTATAAAATATTATAAAATAATACCATTATATTTTATTATATTGTGAATACAAAAAAATCACAAAATCGAAAATGAAATTTCTTTTTTTTTTTTTTTTTTTACCCTTAAATATTTTTACATTAATTTTCGAATTTTACCTGTGTACTTTGATATCCCACGTATGCACCTACACGTTGTACATATGCATAGCCGAAGCGGCAAGACGATGGTCGAAATTTGTGGTTAACTCGTGCATTTCTATTTGCCGCTACTGGAACGCATAATCCGCAAGAATGCGAATGCGAGACGAATGCGGCAGAATGGAAAGCCACGTGAAATCGCGTTAACTAATCCAAACGTGGCCCCCACGTCGCGAAGTTACACTCGATTAACCCTTCCGCCGTGGCAACTTGAACTTTGTCTCGAGCAAGTTTCTTGTCGGCGCGGAAATCTCTTTATGTGCATCTTCTTTGCATATAGAGAGCTATATTTGTTGTATTTATGGTTGGAAGAAAATCCTTTAACGTAACCGAAAGAATAAAAACGTAAAGCTGGACCGGAAATAAAGCAAAATAGAATAAAATATTATTGTAAAAATATTTTTTAAATACGTATTTCTATTGGAATTATATCGTATCATATTTTTAAATGATAAAATTAAAAGGTAGACGAAAACACAAGATTATAAATATATAAAAATAAAAGATTTAGAGAAGAGACGAGGATTCACGAGTTTTTTCTTTTCTCTTTTTTTAATTACAGATCTCGCTCGCTTCGGATTCAGCCGCTCAACGTCGACCTTTCACAATGGCCGCTCGTTTATGGTAAGTTTTAAGCAGCGGGAATATCTTTCCTGATTTAGATTTGTAATTCGCGAGACGCCGTCCCCAACCATTTTCTTCGGACGAGACACGGGCCTTAAATCATACCTATCCACGCAGGATTTCCGACATTCGCGTCTTCGCCTCCCTTAAATCCTTCTTATCCGATGAATTATGCCGGCGTTAAAACCGTCTAACGAATTTCGTTGAACAAGCGCGTGCGCGTACGCGTTGGAGATGATCCAAGGTGGTAGCGAGCGAAGGAATGCCGTCTGCGACACGGCGACGAGGGAAAAAGAAGAGGAAGAAGAAGGTTAGCGGAAGGAAAGCGAAGAAACGTGGTGGTCGTTAAATCTTTCGGATACCGCGGCTTCGATGAGCCAGTGTTTCCCAACTAGTTCTAATCGTCGTGAAAGATCTTTATATGGAAATTTTAGTTTTAATACGAAAATATTTATCATTGTATTTTAAATTTATCCGTGTGTTATTGTTATTTTTAGGTTAGGTATCTATGAAAGTTTTTATAGTTTAATATATTTGTATTAATTTGATTAATAAGAAGATGGAAAGATCTGCGTTTTTGCAATTATTTTTGTTTTGTTACAATTCTTCTTTTTTATTATATGAAACGAGAGAATTTTCTTGATTGTTTGACATTTAGTAATATTCTTCGCATTCTTTTTTTTTTATTTTCAAACAAATAATAATATTATAAACTACTGAAAAATATTCGTAAAAATAATAAAATTATATCGAAATATGTTTTGTTGTTATCGCGTAAAACATTAAATGTAATTTTTCTTGAAAATATGTACTTGAAAATTAGAGTTAAGTTAAATTGCATGAATCCTATGGCATAGGACTTTTTTTTATTTTATAGATTTTCTTTTTTCTTTATAAGGGAAAAAAGATGTCAGAAGTTTTATTATTTTTTCAATAATCATTTTATTTGTATAACATAACATAAAACTTTTCGTTTTTAATATGAAAGAAGTCTGACACATTCCCAATATTGTAAATATCGTTTTTTAAAAGATTATCGAGTAAAACAGTACAAATTATTACAAATAAGTTGAAATTAAAATAGTTCAAATTAATGTGAATTGTAAATTGATACAATACAAAGTAGGAGAAAATATAATATTACAAAATATTTGAAAAGATGACAATTTTAAATTTTTAGATGAAAAGATAAAAAATTCTCATTAGTCTAAAATTATTCTCGCGTAAAAATTACTCGCAATTCTATTATTTCATCATGTATTGAAACGTATCGCCAAAGATATTCATTCAAGATAACAGAAATTTTATCTTGATTTTTCACAAAAAAAAATTACACTTTATTGAATTTAAAGTTCTATAATAAAGAAAAAGAAATGTTTCTCTCTCGCCTGTTTCATACAATTACTATTGACTCGATACACGTAATATATTCCAATATATTTCAATATACGTATAATCGAATCACGAGAACACCTCTTTTCCATTTTTTTTTTTTTACAAAATTAATTCATACATAAAGAAAATATTTGCATCAAATTTTTATCGATCTTAAATCTCCTATAAACAACACAACAACAAATATTCATCCGAATCAAATCGAGAAAAACGACTTTTTCCCCATCCCTGAACCAACACGTGGCGCCAACTTCCGGGTAATCGCGTAATTAGTAGCAGGTGTCGAGTGAAAGATTCGAGCAGCGCGAGATCGTTCGCGAACGAACAAAAGAGAGAAGGTGGTTGCACTGACGTGGGCAAAAGTCGAAAGAGGGAGGGAGGAGGGGGGGGAAGGATGTGACAGCAGCCGAATTGGCGGCCGTCGTTGCAGTTGGCATCCGTGTCTGCGTCGCTCTCTATAAATAATTGGGGGAATCCCGTGGCGGCAGAAGAAATTACCGCGAGGTGAACGCGGCACGATGTCGTCGAAATATTCGCGCGACTTCTTCTTCCCCTTCGCCACCGCCTTCTTCTAATTTTGGCCGCGGCCGACGAAAACTCTTCGACCGGCGCGCTCCCGTCTCCTTTTTCTTTCACGGCCGAGAACGTCTGCCCGACTTTGCTCCAATTTCTATTTTCGCCCGAGACGCCGAAACTTTCGGCGATAGATACCGTTTCGCGATCCTCTCCACGCGAAAATCGAGACGTCGGGGTCGTTGTCGCGGTCGGATATCGAGAGACGAGCCGTTCGCCTCGAAAAAGATTAGAGTTGAGAGCCAGGCTGGTGGAAATAAAGTATCGAGGGAGAAAGAGAGGAGGATGTTAGAAGAAGTCGAGCTTATTTTTTTTTTTTTTTATTATTTATGATTTATGAATAAGTTTCTTTATTTCAAATAAATACAATGATTTTCTGAATTTACACATTCTCATTTTCAGATACTACATGTTATTTCTGTTTTAAATATAAGATATCCAATCTTGCTTGGATTGCATAAAAAAGTTTTCAAATTTCCAATTCTTAATTTCGTTAGATGATATACAGGGAATTCATCGTAAAGTAATTGTAATATAAAATAAATCTTAACGTATTGAAAGTTTTATAATTATTAATTATTTTTATCTTGTAACATACTTATTTTTTGTTTTCATTTACTGCTATAATTTAATCCAAAATAAATATTTTTAAAATATAAATTGTATTACAACTTCATTTGCTGTCAAAATATACTATTATTTCCAAAATTTAAAATTATCCTCATCCACCACCACATAAATTCGTAATAATAAAATTTTCAAACGAATATCCTCTAATTGAAGAATAAATTTAGAAATCTTAAATCGACACGACCTTTCAACAATTGGAATCGCTAGTTCACCACACGGTAGCAGTTATAACCGACCTACACTACTGTTTGAAGTACTATCTTCGCCTTATCCCCTATTTCCCCAGCCAAATCGAAACATCAATTTTCGCAAATAAAACGAGAAATAAATCTGGCGATCACGATTCTGCAACTTCTCTTCCAGCCTCGTCTAAACGACGCATCGATCATGGGGGATCAGTGTAGAGCGATCTCCCTCGAGGGGAGAGAGCGTCACGTTTCCCCTTTGACGTGCCACGATTAGCACTTATCTCGGCTAATCGGTGTTCTGTGCTCCTCTGTCGCAGACGAATCCGGCGCGCATAAGAAGCGAGCAAAGCGGCGGGGCGGCGGCGGCGTCGTCCGGAAGCGAGGAGCAGAGAAGAAGCGGCGTGGTGCCGGCGCCGGTCCCAACACCGGTCCCGGTGCACGTGCCTCTCGGACCGAGCAGAAAACAGGGGCAAGAGGCCACGTTTCCTTTCGGCCAGGTACGCTCGCACTACGATCCAAAGTGGCTAAGAGCGTAAGTCCTCACCGAGTGCACCAGGAGTGCTCGAGCGGAGGGGAGGTGCAGGTACAGGTGCAGCAGGAGAGACGAGCACCGAGGCGCATGCCTTACCTGGGGCCTGATATGACAACCCGGCTGTCCGCCATGTTTTACACGGTCGAAGTCGGGGACACCAGATTCACCATTCTCAAGCGGTATCAGAATTTGAAGCCGATCGGTTCCGGGGCACAGGGAATCGTTTGGTGAGTATCCAAGTATTGGTGAGTCGCAGTTGTTTGTTCGATTCTCGAAGAGATTAGTAAGAAGTTAGTAGATCGACACTGTAATACGAGGGGTCAGGTGGTCTTGTAACATTTTTATATTATGAAAACGATGTACATTGGTGATTTGGAATATTTAGCGAATAAATTATTAACAGTAATAATAGTTTATCGAGTTTTAATTATATAGTTACGGAGTTACGAAAGTTGTTCAGTCTTTTTGTTAATATTTCTTAGATACCAATTACAAGTCCTGTCTTAAGATGTTAAAATCCTGTCTAAGTGAAGTGAAAGTCCGTTCCAATTTAGGTCAGATATTGCTCTTACACGCGGTTAGATATCGGCAATTAATTCCGATGTCCATTATTACAGATCCAAATATCCATTATGACGTCTCTGTAGCATTCGCTACATTAATCCTGAGAAAGATAAGATATTTTATTGAGCAGAAAGTGTTTGAAGGCTTCACAAATAATAATTGAACATTCTCTGTTGGTGATAAAGTATATGCATTGAGAGTAAGTTAAATATTCGAGACTTTAAAAATATTTTCGTATTATAAATTTCAGTAAGAATGAAATGAACTTTATTTTGAAATATTAAAATTCGTTTGGAACGTGTACTTTGTGGATTCATCTACGTCAATGCTGTTATACAATTTTGACGTAGAATTTTTAATTGTCGAAATTAATTGATTCGAAAGTTATATATTTATAACGTTTCACATTTTGGTACGTGATTGAAGAATGAAACACACGTCAAATTAATTAAAGATCTATATATATATATATATATATATGATACAATAAACATATAATTATTATAATTATTATTCAATAAAGAAAATATATTGTTAAATCGCACATCGGATCGCAATATTTACTTAAAATTAAACTTAGATATTTTATAACAGTTCTGCCAGTATGATTCCAATTTGAAATTTAGATTTTGACGCGATTTAAGCAAAATGAAATTTGAATTTAGCGCCGACGTTTCGTATTGAAATTGAAAAATTCAATATAAAAAATAATAAATTTAAAATTTCATCCGTAAATAACTTTTGTATACAAAAAAATATACCAGAGATAATTAGAATTAACGATATCATCATCAAAAGTATTTCATAATTTTGAAATATCTTATTTTAAAAATAGAATACTTAAACGTTGAATCTTTCACAATAATGGACAAAAAGTAAACTCATTTTGACAAGTGTCATCCTTTCAATTTTACTTTATTTACGTAATCAAAACGCAATTAGAATTCGCTTCAGTAAAAACATAATTATGACCAATTATATATAAGTACACGTATATTTACTTGGACGTTGTTGTTTCAGCGCTGCGTACGACACGGTGACAGCGCAGAATGTCGCGATCAAAAAACTCTCGAGACCTTTCCAAAACGTTACGCACGCGAAGAGGGCCTACAGGGAGTTCAAGCTGATGAAGCTGGTCAATCACAAAAACGTAAGCTTTTTTCCCTCCGTGTCGCGATAAATCATGCGATTCGAAGATTATTCTTTTGCCGGCAGATAATCGGTTTGTTGAACGCGTTCACGCCACAACGGTCTTTGGACGAGTTTCAAGACGTTTACTTGGTGATGGAACTTATGGACGCGAATCTATGCCAGGTAATCCAGATGGATCTGGATCACGAACGTATGTCTTATCTGCTTTATCAAATGCTGTGCGGCATCAAACACTTACACTCGGCCGGTATCATTCACAGGGTGAGTGATTTCGTATTTCCGGTAATGTTAAATCGTTATGTGTTATTAACTCGGTGCTTCTTGTTCATTACTGGCGGCCAGGATTTAAAGCCGAGCAATATAGTAGTGAAGGCCGACTGTACATTGAAGATTCTCGATTTTGGCCTGGCCAGAACTGCCGGGACCACTTTCATGATGACGCCATACGTTGTGACGCGATATTACAGGGCGCCAGAGGTGAGAATAAGGAAAAATAAATTAATCGTGCAGGATAAGGATATCACGTCGGGATGAGTCTCTTCGATTAGGATGTATAAACATAAATGGAGAATAATAATAATCGAATGTGAAATTTAATTACATATATTGCTTCGTCTCCTCTTAATCCGTTAACCGTATAATATTATTTTAGAGATGAATATCTGTGTGCGCAATTAAAATTAGAAGAAATAACGAGTATATTTGTCAAACAGAAAATAAATGCATTTACTGTGAAATTAAATTAAAATAAATTAAATATCTCTTAGTAAAGTCTCTTTCAGTAAAATTTTAATTCAAATTGCAAAAGATAATTTTTTTTTTTTTTTTTTCGTATAACGAAATATTCATCATAACGAAAGAAATAACCACTTTTTCGTGTCAAGTATACTCCTCGAATGCAACAGTGAAAAAGTTAGATCTCAACTTCTTGAACCGATCTCGTCCGATTTTTACCGAGCTGACCCGAATATTCCGAGTAAAATTTTAATCCGAATAGCAAAAGGTAATTTTATTTCGCAACGAAATATTCATCGTAACACAGAGAAGAAATTGCCACTTTTTCGTGTCAAGTATATACTCCTCGAACAGAATAGTGAAAAAGTTAGATCTCAACTTCTTGAACCGATCTCGTCCGAATTTTACCGAGCTGACCCGAATATTCTCACTAAGTTTTCGCCCGATTTCATCCGAATTTGCCCGACTTGTCCCGAGCTCAGAATCTCGAAAATTCGCACACGTTTTAACAGAGAGTCGCGCGTTAATTGTTCATTCACACTCGTTACGTACCATGTCGTCTCGCAGGTGATACTCGGGATGGGATACAAGGAGAACGTGGACATTTGGTCGGTCGGGTGCATAATGGGCGAAATGATTCGGGGTGGCGTCCTCTTTCCCGGAACGGATCACATCGACCAATGGAACAAGATAATCGGTAGGTCGCCGTGATCGCTTCCCTCCGTGTACTACACCCAGGAACGTGCGTGCTTTAACACGCGCGGCTGGACGTTGTTGCAGAGCAACTGGGAACGCCGGCGCAGGAATTCATGCAGCGGCTCCAGCCTACGGTCAGGAATTACGTGGAGAACAGGCCACGGTATCCGGGATATCCGTTCGACAGGTTATTCCCGGACGTTCTGTTTCCATCGGACTCGTCGGAACACAACAGGTTGAAAGGTAAGCTTGCAGAGAAAACTCTTTGTCATAAATTATTAAATTAGATATATAATAAGAGATAAAATTATTTTCTCGATCTAATTGGATGTCTTATGTTAAATTGTGTAGTTTTTCCATGAAACGTTTGAAATGAAATATTTGAATATTATTTTCAAATCTTGCTCATCAAACAATCATTATTATATTATTTGTGTTAAGTTTTTCTTGATGATACATATTCTTTATATTCTCTGACTATATACTATTTTCATTGATTGATATCAGAAAATTCGAATCTCTCAAACAATATCTAGAAAATTAAAATGATTTTATATAATAATTTATAACATATAAATCTTTTTTTAATATCATTCAATTAATTATGATGATTGACATTTTACTTCAGTAAAACTATTTTAACGATCAATCTAAATATATACATTTTATTCGAAATAGATCCAGCACTGGATTCGCTACCTCTTTACTACGCTGCTCCTCTTCCATGCGTTTTTTTCTTTTCCTTTTGTGTTCCAGCTAGTCAAGCCAGGGATCTATTGTCGCGCATGCTCGTGATCGACCCCGAACGACGCATCTCCGTCGATGATGCTTTACTACATAATTACATAAACGTGTGGTACGACGAGGGCGAAGTCAATGCCGTAAGTGTCACCGATTCGTCGTTAATCCCGTTAACTATTCTCGCAACTTCACTCACACCTCCCTCCCCATCTTCCATTTTATCCATGTAAATGTTCGGGGGGTGGATGAAGAGATGGTGGTGGGAGAGAGAAGAAGAGTATCGACCGATTCGAGTCGCGTTCCATCGAATACGTAGTCATTCCTTGGTAAAGGATGGAAAAGAAGAAGACGATGATTGTTAGGCAGTATCGCGTTTGTTACAGCCTGCACCAGGCCCGTACGACCATAGTGTCGATGAGAGGGAGCACACGGTGGACCAGTGGAAAGAGCTGATCTACCAGGAAGTGATGGAATACGAGACGAGCCATAATCCCACGACAGTAGCTCAAACGTCCGAGAGCGGCGAATCCCGGTAGACACGCAAGAACTACTTGCCATCTTTTTGCGTCAACGACGCATCTAGACTGTCCGATCTGTTACACGTACATATATGTATACACACGCGTACACGTATCCCTCCCGTACACAACAGGCATGCATACACAGAGAGACACACACACACACAAAACCGTATTTCAATATAAGCGTGTGTATATCCTATGTATGTACGTATATATATACATATATACATACACATATATGTAGTATATATATATATTTCGTGGAAATATAAATGAGATGAGAAATAATGATTAGAAATCGTTTACGTCCATGGGAATGATGTACGTTAAACGAAGCGCCGTTTTCGTTCGACGAGGCCAGGAAGAAAACAGGCGAGACGAAATGAATAAAATTGGAAGTGAAGAGAAACAGGAAAGAAATATGTGTATGTGTGAGAAAGAGAGAAAGAGAGAGAGAGAGAGAGAGAGAGATCCAAAGTGAGCGAACGATAGTGTATGAAACAAAAAAGGAAAAAGTAATGACAGAGATAAAATGAAAGGAAAAAAAGATAATCGACGAGAAAGAGAAAGATAGAAAAGATATGGGGTAAGAGAAAAACGGAGAAAGAGAGAGAGAGAGAGAGAGAGAGGAGGGAGAGAGAGAGAGAAGAA